AAAAGTTCCACTTTTTATCCCCCTCTCTGCACCAGTTTTCATCAAGTTTTCTTTCCTCTTTCTTAGGTCTAATTACCCAGGTTCGTTGTGACCATTCCCCCCCCCCCCCAGGTCCACTAATTACTCCCTGTGCCATCTCCTCTCTTCCCTAGCTCTGCTATAATTAGCCTCGTTTACAGCAACCTTCCCTCTCCCATGGGTGGTAATTACCGTTGTTCGAACGACCCTTCCTCTCTCTCTCTCCCACACCTTGTTACCGTTGTTCGAACGACCCTTCCTCTCTCTCTCTCCCACACCTTGTTACCGTTGTTCGAACGACCCTTCCTCTCTCTCTCCCACACCTTGTTACCGTTGTTCGAACGACCCTTCCTCTCTCTCTCACACACACCTTGTTACCGTTGTTCGAACGACCCTTCCTCTCTCTCACACACACCTTGTTACCGTTGTTCGAACGACCCTTCCTCTCTCTCTCTCTCACACACCTTGTCATTACGACCCCTTCTGTGTCTCGTACAAGCAAGTGCTTATCTGTTAAGTGCTTACAGGGTCGAGCTCTGGCTTCTGGGTCCCGCCTCTCGAGGACTGTTTGATTTATTGTTTGTTCATATGATGACTTTTTTTTGGGGGGGGGGGCATTTATGTGGGTCATCTGTGTCTTTACTGTCTTGTCCCATGGTACATTTAGTACACTGTACCATGGTACTGGTGGTGCAGTGTACCTTGGTACTGTTAAATTCTAGTAGCCATATTTCGGACCATTTCTTCAGTGTGTCCAAATCCATTAGCAATGCAAAGTAATCTGTCGTGAATGTTATCATTAGTTTTGCGTCATCTGCAAGCATTGATATGATCCAATTTCCTGTGTCAAGTAGTTGATATATATTAGAAACAGAATGGGTCCTAGAACCGACCCTTGTGGTACTCCATTCTTAGTTCTCTCCGTTCTCACTGTATAACGCTTTGGTTTCCTCCTGGGAGATACTCTCTGACTCATCTTAGGATTCTGCCAGATACATCAGCCTGTTGCATAGCTTCAGAAGGAGTTTTTCGTGCGGGACCATATCGAATGCTTTCTGGCAATCATGGAATATGCAGACAATCTCTCTATCTTATTTCTATCCTCTTGTTGTGGAACTCCGGTAAGTGTGTCAAGCAGGATTTTCTTTTACTAAAAGAGTGTTGGTGTTTTGAGACAAAATTGATCTGTTGTTAATGTTCTACTAGTCTTGGGAGGCCTCGTAGCCTGGTGGATAGCGCGCAGGACTCGTAATTCTGTGGCGCGGATTCGATTCCCGCACGAGGCAGAAACAAATGGGCAAAAGTTTCTTTCACCCTGAATGCCCCTGTTACCTAGCAGTAAATAGGTACCTAGGAGTTAATCAGCTGTCACGGGCTGCTTCCTGGGGTTGGAGGCCTGGTCTAGGACCGGGCCGCGGGGACACTAAAACCCCGAAATCATCTCAAGATAACCTCAAGATCTCAAGAAGCCTGCTTCGGATCAGTCTCTTTAACAACTTACAAGGGATGCTCGTTTATCATAGGGGTTTGTAGTTACTAGGCACTATTTATAGGTCATAGGCACTATTTATAGGTCATAGGCACTATTTATAGGTCATAGGCACTATTTATCAATAGGGCCATTTTCCAGCGGTCAGGAAATTCTCCCGTTGCTAGAGAGGAAATAAATATTATGACAAGTGGGTTGCATAATGCTTCAGCTGCTTCTTTTAGTATCCATGGCAATATCTTGTCTGTTCGTACGGCTTTTTCTCTTCTCATTGCTTCCAGACATTGTCTGTTGAACCACGGGCTCATCTTGCTTCCCATAAACATTAGTGATAGAATGAACATTTCTTCAGCTTCTTTGAGTTTCTGACGGTCCAAATCATGTCCAGTTTAGAGTTTTGACAGGGTTCTCTTCCCCCCATTCTGCTCCCTCTAGGAATTCTCTGACCCTCAGGTATTTCTCCCTCTCCTGAATGCTAGCCTTACACTCTTCCCCCCTTGTTACATCCTTCTCTGGGCTTCATTGTTACTAATTCAGTCATTCAAAGATTAAAAGACAGTGGTCACTGGCTGTTAACGGCATTACATCCTCAATGTTTTCAATATCCATCTCATTCTGTGTGAAGACCAGATATAGATGTGGTGGTGTGTGACCCCTAGCTGACCCCACAGGCCCCAGTATCCCAGCGTCTGACCCCCAGCTGACCCCACAGGTCCCAGTATCCCAGCGTCTGACCCCAGCTGACTCCACAGGTCCCTGTATCCCAACGTCTGACCCCAGCTGACCCCACAGGTCCCAGTATCCCAGCGTCTGACACCAGCTGACCCCACAGGTCCCTGTATCCCAGCGTCTGACCCCAGCTGACCCCACAGGTCCCAGTATCCCAGCGTCTGACCCCAGCAAACTCCACAGGTCCCAGTATCCCAGCGTCTGACCCCAGCTGACCCCCCAGGTCCCTGTATCCCAGCGTCTGACACCAGCTGACCCCACAGG